CTCTCTCTCTCTCTCTCTCTCTCTCTCTCACACACACACACACACACACACACACACACACACACACACACGCACACACACACACACACACACAGCCCCCCCGCCGCCCTAGCCTCGACTCTCACGCTCGCTAAGCAATTTGTCCCGCATATTATTGTGCCTGTTCTCATACGCTCCCGCCCCCCACCAAAACCAAATATGTTCTGACACGCCAGCCCGCCCTTCGCGAGCTGATTCCTTCACACACGTACCCCCTCTCCCCCCCGCCCCCCACCTCCCCCCGCCAACCAAATTATTTATGCCTGTTCAATTACACGCCACATGCACTGTACCTTGAAACACCGGCCCATGAGTGCATTCCACCGTTCATTGACAATTACTCACTCCAACAAACCTCACTCCTCGAAAAAAAAAAAAAAAAAAAAAAGGCAACGCTCACTCCACCATCCACCACATGTCTAGAAAATATGCGTGCGTTTCATTTTGTCACTGCAAACAAGACTCTCACTCCGCGAAATGCCGCCATTAGAACTCACACATTACATTATTATTATTATTATTATTATTATTATTATTATTTACGTATTTTTACAAGACCCCGACTCAGGTTGCTAGGCGGCGAGGTGATAGGAGCATCCCCCCTAGTACCCCACACATATCATCATCATTATATTATTATTATTATTATTATTATTATTATTATGACATAATAAAGAAAGTCTTACTCACCGCCAATACCTTCTGATGACTACTTTCTGATTGAGTCTCACGACTTGCAGATCTGCCCTTGCCAACCGCAAGGACTCCAATCCAGACCTTGTCAGGGATGTGCATGAGGACACCTCTAAAGTTTTCAAGCGCCTCAGTTTTCTCCCAATGCAAGCCAAGCTTGCGTCCGTAATTCTCTGCTCATCTATCAGTGTCAGAATTTCCAAATTAGGAAGGTTGTCTGTAATCACGCTCATTGCGTCATCATCAACCCACGTTAGACCAAGGGTTAAAAAAGTCAGTTGGGGAAGACGAGGCACCAGTTGCTGAGTGAAATCCTTCCCCACTTGAGTGGGAAGCCTGTTGTGGATTTCCAGGTGGCACAGCGACAGACATCGATTTGCAATGGCATCAACCGCCTCGATCCATCTATGCTTCACACTGAAGCATCTAAGTACTAGTCGCTGAAGAAGGGGGCAGTTGTTGGCGATGAACTCCAGGGTATCGGACTTGCAGTACCACGTGGAGAGATCTATTAATAGACCTTGGCCGCGCAAGACTACATCCCGGGTAGCATTCCAAACGCAGCGGTGAAATTCGATATGAGTTGGGGGTGATGGGCAGCACTTGTACGTGTCGGCTTCCTTCCAGCAGCCAGGGTCCCATGACGCTTGGTACCAGCTCTTGCAAACTGGGCCCACATGGAACCTGTCCCTAAGAGAGAGAAAGCTGAAGATGTGGACCAGAGCATCGAGTCCCAGATCTCCCCACGCACGTCCATCTTCCACGTCATCATCAGCAGGCTCATCCTGATGATACTCCTCAATGACGACATGCTGATGGGTGAAAGGTCGATGCGCTGGATCGTCACTACCCTGTGGTGGTGTCTCGGCATCACACTCTAAGAAGGGGTGCTCTCTCTCTCTCCCTACGTCTGCTCCCTCTGTCTCCTCGCCATTCTCTGTGGAGGTGCCCTCCCCTCCTCTCTCCAGCAGAGCGCTCGCACTCTCAACCACCTCGCCTATCTTCGGCCTCAGGCAATCAGAACCATGACATGTCTGCTGACGACACGTCAGATCTCCATCACTCTCTAACACGTCCTCTCTTTCCATCTTCTCCGTCATGATTTCACAGAACTCTCTCCCCCTTCCCACGCCAGCTAGCTTGCCGCCCGTCTCACTTGAGAAACGTCGCCTCGGTTTAAGGATGACATGCGCTCTTCGGCCTCAGGCAATCAGAACCATGACCTGTCTGCTGAGGACATCTCTCTCTCTCTCTCTCTCTCTCTCTCTCTCTCTCTCTCTCTCTCTCTCTCTCTCTCTCTCTCTCGTCTCGGTTTAAGGATGACGTGCGCAAGATGCGTCCAATCATCTCCGTCACTCTCTGAAACGATCGATCCCGGATGCCTCCTTGCTGAACGGCCACACGTTTTCACTCGGTTGGAGAGGGGTAGGGGGAGGTGCTAGTGACTGGCCAAAGATGCTCGGCACTACCGTAGCATCGCCGGCTTCCCTCATGGGCTATGCCTTATCACCCCACAATGTCATCTTCGTGATGAGGGGTGTTTACAAGCCTTGCTCTCGCAGCGCTGCTATGGTGCAAACCTGCCCCATGGGTTGGGGAGAGTTCCAGGTTTGGTTTGTGTTCGCCGGTACTATACGTAGGGCGTCGTTCAACACTCCTCAGGATTTCCTAGAGCTACAAGGAAGTTCCCTTGAAAATTTTGTGGCCTCGTTCCACACGTCCCAAGGACTTTTCCTTGTGACCTGTGACCTGCCGGCGGCCGTTTTCAAACGATTGTAGGCGGGGGTTGACCTTGGTCCACCATCCTGTGTCCATGTGGAGATAGCCTCGTCCAGTGATGTCCAGGCGGGGGTTGACCTTGGTCCACCGTCCTGTGTCCATGTGGAGATAGCCTTGTCCAGTGATGTCCAAGGGGAAAAGGCAGGGCCATGCCAGGAAAAAGAAAATAAAAAGTAGGGGATTTTTTTTTATTTTTTTTTAATAAACCCTACCGGTGTTAGTGTTGCTGATAAGAGCAGACACCACTAACACCTGGGTAGAGACTCCATCTATTGGTGGGGAGTGTCACCTGCTGGAAACCGGGTTCAGCGTCTCTTTTACATAGCCTTTGTCTCTTTATAAGGATATGTGAAGATAAAGACTGCCTCTTCAGCCAAACCAGGCTGCCAGATACAACTATTAAATCTAGCAGAAAAATATCTCCTCGAAACAGTCTAACGAATAGTCCGACAATGGAGACAAATTTTCCCTGAGATTGCATCAGAATGCTAGAAACCTCAGAGATCCAAAAAATATTGCGTTCATACTTCATTGAGGATACCATTGCGAATCCACCATTGCTAATTCCGACGGGGGGAAGGGGTCAGAAAAACATTCCAGAGATCTGAGTGTGGCTCCTGGAGGAAGCGAAAACCAGTCTTTGAAGCTCAGGAGGAAGTCTCGTTTTAGATTTTCCCCCTGTTCTTCCTTCCCCGACCATTTCACTTCTCCCAAGCACCCTCCTTCATTTTCTCCCAGCCAATCTTGATTGAATTTTTTAATACATTTGGTTATATCTTTTTTTTTATGGAGCTGTTGTATCTTCGATCGCACTACTCACCAATGTGCTCGTATTTCTGTCTGTACAAATTGAATAATTAGTTCAACAAATTTCATACCTTCAAGTTTTTACATCTTCTCTGTCATAAACACACCTTTTGTACCATAATGCCCATAGAATGACGTTCCGACCAAGTTCGAACAAATTCCTCTGAAATTCTGAAAGTTGCATATCCTGTGGTTCTCATTGCCCTAGTAGGATGACTTTCCAATCCCATGGCCAGTCGATTCCTGTCAGTGCTCTCCACACACTGTCCTATCTTCTCCATAATAACATCGTTCCAGGACATTGGATGAATACATGTTCAATCGTTTCTCTGATTCTCTTGTTGGGGAAGACAGATAGACATGCTTTACACCATGGAAGAGTCAGACCCCGTTGCTCTAGATTGGTGCGATTGATGAGCCAATCATTCGTTGGAAGACATCGATGAAGTATTTGCCACTGTAATCATGAAAACTTAGCAGGTCGTTTTTTTAGTTGATTAAAGAATTTTATATTTCTGATACTTTGTATATCTATGTTCAAATGCCTGGTCCATCAGTCCCTTCAAGTTATTATAGATGCCACATCTACCCTAGGTCGAAGTAGACGATATGATGCCTTAACTGTTAGGGATTGTAGAGTACGTGGTTTACTCCTTGTACCCATCTGCCATACCCATTCGTCCGGATCAAAGGGTAGTTCTGGAATCATTTTGGATGGAAGGTCCTCCATCCAGTGGTGACCGAAATAAAAATAACTCTGATTCTAAACATTTTGTTGAATGGAAAGAACTCAACCTGGTTATCTGGTGTCAAAATGAGCAGATGATTTTTTGTTATTTTGAACAAAGTTACTAGAGCTCCTTCCTCAAGTAAACTCATGATTTGCCCAACCTTCCAATCTTGCGGATCTTGTGTAATTGTAACAAAATCACCTTCTTGAAACTTTACACTGTTTCTCAATTCTCTGACACATGTCAAAGGGATGAAACTACTTATGTGTTCCAAATTCTGGTCCAATTTGTGGGCGTAAGTAATTATTTTTTTAAGTTGATTTGGATTTTTTCATCTTCTCTTTTGTAAATCCCAAATGTCTTTAATCCCTATGACCCATTTTTTTACCCATTGGGACCAGGGAGGAGTGGAGCTATTATACACACAACTATTAACATCTGTAATCCATTTGTTACCAAATAGAGGTTGCTTCAAGATTTCCTCAAAGCGTATGGGTTAAGGTTTGTTGGGTAGTGGTAGTTTCCTCCACACTTTCAGAAGAGACACCCATAGAGTATCTAGGATGAGGTCTCTATGAGTAACACCTCTTTCCCCTTCATTTCTCAAGTGTGCGGAAGGACGAGGGATATGCCAAAATATGTTTTATACCCAAGTAAGGGGATGAACTTCAGGTGGTGCGTCTGGTGCCAATTTTCTAATTTGTTGTAGGGCTAGGGGTTGCCACGACTTGTCTATACCAAGGATGAGGTCAATCATCCACTAAAGGGACAAAGCTTGACACTGTAGGGTGGGGTCCAAAATTCCTAACCCTCCTCTGGACATAGGTTGGATAAGGGTAGACCATGCCACTCTAGGAATTACCTTTTGAAGCTCGTGATCTCCTCTCTAGAGGAATGTCATCACTTGTTTTAAGAAACATTTGATTCCTGGTTTGTTGATTACCCAAATTGCTGATTTGTACCAAATTGACGCAAACACCACATTATTTATAATCAGTGCCCTCCCTAAAAGAGAGGTATGCTGATTCTTCCATTGATTCATCTTTTGGATTGTTTTGAAATTCATTCATCATTAGTTGTGGGTTTGCCAGAGGTCGTCAACGATACACCTAACACTCTCAGAGGGGCTTCTAACTTGAATGGCAACCATTGTACCCTGGGGGATTCAGGTGGACGGCCGCCATTTGAGTGGATTCACCATCCTTGCGTTTTACTTCCCCAATTGACTACCATATCTGAAAGGGCATAAAATTTGTCCAAAAGGTTTTTTATTTCTTCCATGTTTGCCTCTGAAGTCTCTATTATTATCGTAAGATCATCTGCAAACATTGAGGTTATTGGTATTGCGTCTTCCGGGATTCCTGAAATGCTTAGTCGTTTGATATTGTGATTAGCTCTAAGGTTGGCACCCAGAGCTTCCATTAGAATAACAAAAAGAAAAGGGGTCAGAGGGTCGCCTTGCCTTACTAACCTCTGAAGGCGGATTTCTTGAGACAGCAACTCATTCACAAGAATACGTGTGGTGGCATTTATATGTCGAATTTCAACCCATCTACGCATGTTGGGTCTAAAGTTTAGTTTGTGCAAGCAAGCGTCTAGGAATCGCCAATCCACATGATCATATGTCTTTTCAAAGTCTATAAAAACAATAGCTGCATTTTGTTTGGTTTGTCATGCAACTTTGACCATTTCATTGATTAGAAGGATATTATCTTGTATGTGCCGATCTTTTATAAATCATGGGATGAATTATATCTGCCATTACTGGGATCATACGATTAGCCAGAGCTTTATCAAGCAATTTGTATACTACTGTAAGTAGAGTAATTAGTCTGTAATTCTTGGTATTGGACTTATCCCCTTTTTTGTATAATAGGGTAAAAATTCTTTGACTGACAAACTCTCCCATTTGACCTGTTTCGCACACCTCATGATAGTATTTCATCAGGTCTGGTGACAGGATGGACCACATGGCTTCCCAAAATTATTTGGGCAGACCATCCACTCCCGGTGTTTTATCCTCCTCCATCTGAATTAAAGTTGTCCAAATTTCTTCTTTAGTTAGTAGTTTTTCAAGATGTTCACGTTGTTCATCGGTGATAGACTGGAATAGTGGTTCTAAGAAGAAAGAAGTAGCTTGATCATCTTCTTGGATGCAGGTAGGGTCTTTGGATGATTTGAACAATTCTTAAAAAAAATCATAAGCGACTTTCAAACTTGGCGCAGAGGATGTGGGTGCCAAAGGATACCTCTGAGCCTCGTGATCATACAAATTATCAATATAAAAGAGTTTGACTCGTAATTGGGCCATTGCAAAAAAGGATGTATCAATCTGCCCTTCTGTCCCGAATTTCGTCAATTTGCCTCTGATTATTTGTCTCTGTCAGCGATGCTGGGCAAATGACAACATTTTTTTCCTGAGTTCTTGGATATCAATATTTTGTGAGGATTCCGGGTCTTGAGATTCATATTCAAAATTTGTTCTTGAATTTGTATTTCCTGCAAATGTTTATTCTTTGCTCGTAATTTTGAAAATTCATTGCAGTTTGCAAGAAAACTTAACCCATTGTTGAACTAAGAAATAAAGGAATCTTGTTTCTCTTCCATCGAATGCCAATATTCTCATACATCTGGTAAGTATTTTTTAAAATTGTCATATATTAGCAAAGATGTATTTAGTTTATAGAATCTCTTCCCCTGATCCGGTTTCTTTTTTAAAGAGAGGAGTACTGAGCACATTTTATAGTCTGCACCAGCCCATGGGCTTTGTGAAAAAATTGTTGCCCCTGTGAGACTTCTTGCTAGATCTTCAGACATTAGGATCAGATCTATTCTTGATCTGGATTGGAGGCGGTTACCTTGATTGCGTAAACATGTGAATACTCTTTCCCGCGGGAAGATTCTTCGGTACGAGTCAAATAGGCGTTCATTTTCGCATAAGGTTTGTATTATAATCTCATCTTCCTCTAATAGGGAGGGCATGGAAAGGGGATCTTCCAATGATCTAGCCATCTATCCGGGGTTGCGTTGAAGTCTCCTGCCATGACCAAAGGTATCCCTGCCGGGATTTGTGTTCTTATATCCTGAAAGAATCTGATTTTTTCTTCAACTTCATTTGACTCATATACATTCATTACACATATAGT